GGATGGATGGATGGATGGATGGATGGATGGATGGATGGATGGATGGATGGATGGATGGATGGATGGATGATCGATGCATGGATGGATGGATGGATGCATGGATGGATGAATGGATGGCTGATACAGTAGTTTCATCATTAAATATGTTTACTATGTTCCATTGTGGATAAAATATGTCTGGATGAGCTTTGAAAGCCGTTCTGTCTATATTTACAGTACATTTTACACAACGTACCAGTATTTTCTGAATTAGACATGTAGCTACAAGTGCAAGGGACAGTGTTTTCTGTATCTTTGCTGTAGTACGGCTGAAACTCCACTAACTGGCCTGTTTGCAGCTGAGCTGTAAACTCCAGCTGCAGAGGCTTCAAACAGCTGCTTTCAATTACAGTCACCATCTCGAAACATTACTCCCAACAAGCATTTGTTGACTTTAGATGTGGAGCTCGGGGAGCACAGGGTTTCACAATATGTGCGTCTGGTGATTTGAGTTATAGGCTGCCATATAAGCAAATGGGCAGGTCGTGACCTAAAACCCTTTCAGCCATGCAATCGAGTGTTCCTGCGACAGTTTACATCTTTACCTGATTGCCATTTTATATATTTTCCACTTAGATTAAGTTATTAACACTTGTTTTGTTTTTTTATGATAAATTGCATCTACATTTTACAAATAGTTTTATGTATTTAGAATTTTAGCTGAAGTTTAAGAGAGAACTTTATGATATAGCTAAAGTCAAAGCTACTTAATGTTTAATAGTTTTGATTTAAATGTGACAGCACACCAGAGATTTGCTGAAGCAGACCACACTCCTCGGCCTAAATTAAAGCGAACCACACTGGCTATTGGAGGCCATCCAAAGATAACCACAGAGGGGACTTCAGCCAGCTCCTCCACTTTTGTAAACAAGTCTGTCTCTTTCCACACAGCTGCAGTGTGTGTTCGTGTGAGTTTTTGTGTGATTACGAGCATGTGGCAGTTTTGACGCAGTTCTACGCCCAAGTCCTCCAAAGGCACCTCTCCAACTGTAACAATGTCAGTTATTTCAGACTCAAAGAGTGTTTCCTTCCAGCCAGCTGAGAGGGTGTAGCAGGACTGTTTTTAGCTGAAAGGTGGAGTTTGTGTAGTGCTAGACAATGGCATTGTATCGTGGAAAGAAAAAAAATATTACTCACTTGTACAACTTTTCTTCCATCAGCAATTCAGCAGTTTTTGTTTTAATGGGGGCCTCACAGAATATTTGACTTGGTCAAACTTAGTCTAAAACTTTCTGGTAGTTCATCAAGTTTAGTTTTTTTTTTTTTTTCGAGCTGTCTTTATCTCGAGATGTGTAAATATCTGGCTGTCGACAAAGAATGAAGCTTTCCAGATAGCTCTGCTGTCAAAACTTGGAAGCAGTCTGCATCATGTAGCCTGCCCTCAGGGATAAAAGTGATTAGGTAAAAAAAAATAATAATTAAAGTGTCCAGCAGAAATCAGGGAGGGAAGTGTCTGACTGAGGAAACATGTGAACTGTGTTTCAAAACTGTAATTTGAGAGAAAACCGTTATGATTTGAGCTGTCAGAGATAATACAACAATGGCTTCAGTTATTGAGGAAATACGGACACTCAGTTGCCTATTGCTTTAATTTAATGAGAAAAATAATCTATCAGAAAGACAAGATAATCTGTATTCAAGCTGTACATGTGAGGTGAGAACGTTCCCATTGATGTGTTATGAACTGTGGGAGTTTTGACTTGAGCTTTTATCAGTGAGCACTCTCGAGTCTGTAAACGTGTACGCTATCTGACACCCGTTCTCTCTCTTCCTATTAATTTTGCCACAGACAGCAAATGCATGGGTTACCATGGCAACCGTGATGGAACAGACCTGAGGCAAAGTTTTCACCCCTCCATCCCAGCTCTAAATAAATCATCACAAAACTTTAAAGCTTTGACTGAGAGAAATCTTTGTCAAGGATATGCAATTTCTGCCACTATGTTAGAATAATAACTTTTTTTTCCCCCACAAAGAATTAATTTAGAAAATAATTTACACAGCTTAGATGACACATCTGTTTTCTTTTCATTTTATAAGATTAAGAATGGATGGCATCAGATGAACCAAAGAGCAACAACAACACCACACTTATTCATTTCCCAAAGCCTTTTATTCAGTCCTCCTCCCCACATTCCCTGTACCGATCATTACGTAACACCTTAGAATAATTTGTACTCCAGTACGTTGGTTGGGAAACCTCAAACAGAAAACTCTGTGTTAAAGGTGAACTCTAAATGACGTTGTTGAAATCTGCTGGAGAAGCTGAAACTGAGTTGCTAAAACTAAAAGAAACAGAACACTAGCTTAAAAGACTTAAATCCTATATTTAGGGTTGCCTTAAGCTTAGACTACTAGAGGACAAATTGATCTAATTTCCTTAAATGATTTTCTAAAACTGAATAGTTTTCATTTGATATTATTTCTATCTTAACATGTGATTCTTGACCTGCCATTGTATATCTGTTCCTATCAAACCCATCCGGTTGAAGCAGATGGCCTCTTGTCCTGAGTCTGCTTCTGCTAAAGGTTTCTTCCTCATGGGGGAGTTTTTCCTTTCCACTGTCGCCTTCATGCTTGCTCAATATGAGAGTTCTGTGATGGAGTTAAATTCAAAGCGGTCTGCTCCTCAGATAAATAATGTTAAATTATTATATTTATATATGAATGTTTCTGTTCAGTGCCCTGACATGACTTCTGCTGTGACTTGGTGCAATATAAATAAACTGGATTTAATTGAACTGAAAAGCTAAATGAAGCAAAATGCTATTTAAAAGCTAAAAGTAGTGAAATGCTAATTAAAAGTAGCAACCCATTAACTAAAGGTTACAGGTTTTTCTTGTAAATGAGTCCTCGAGGCTCAGTGAGACTAACTTGTATAAATAAAGGTTGAATGGAAAAAAAAGGTTAAATATTTCAAATGGCCAGCTAAAAGCAAAATAGTAAAGATATTTAAAAGTAGAAAAAGGCTAACTGAAAGCTAAAAACAACAACAAAACAAGAAATGAATGTGAATGCTGAAGCAGAATTCACACAATAAGATGTAGACAGTTCAGTGGATATTGGGATTTAAAGAAACAGGAAATTAAACTGAAGGTTTCAGAAAAAAGATCAAATCATGTCGGAACTTAAAGAAGCATTTTAATTATTGATTTTGTTTTGGTACATTTAATTCAAGTTCGAAATACAAATTCTGTACATTTGCATTAAACAAGTTAAAGTCAAACGTGTGCTCTAATGAATGTTCATGTTGGAGGTTATTTGGAACTGACAGTCAATGCACCTGAAATAAATCCAATTTTTATTTTTATTTAGCTTCTTTCAGGTTATTCAAATGTGCGTAACACAAATAAATTAAAGTTATAATTAGACATAAAGTTAACTTATGAATTGTTTTAATTTTAACTGTAAAAATTCAGTTGCTGTAAATAAATTCATAATTTCAAAGTTTTGTCTGTTTTTCGGTTACAGAATTTTTTGGACTATAAGGCACATTTAAAATCCTTTAATTTTCTCAAAAAAATTACAGTGAGCCTTATAATTCATAAGGTTTATCAGCTTATATTCATAATTCATAATTAATTTGATTCCAGAATTGCGCTGCTCAAAGTGGCTGCATGTTGGAGTAGCTCTCACATTCATTCTGAGATTTTGCTTTTGAAAACTTGAATTACCGTACTCTTTTCTGAATGCAAATAGCTTTTTATGGATGATTCCTTCCTCTGGTATCAGAGGCTGTGCTGCTGGCAGGATTTTTACTGAAACATTATTTCTTTTGGACATTTGTTATGATGTGTAACCATAACAACAGGGTGGTTTTCTACAACTGGGAGCAGCTGATTAACATCTTAAAAGCTCAAATCTCAACTACAGCCCCAAATCCCAAATGAGTTGAAAAGGAGGTGCCGTGGATTAATTCCCGTCTACCTGGAGACAGTGTTCGAGTGCTTGACTGCAGAGATCTTGGAGGTAGCGGGAAACGCTGCTTGTGACAGCGGGAGGACCAAGATCATCCTACAGTTAAGTCTGTGGCAACAAGGGGCTTGGCAGCTGCTGGGAGAAATGGTCATCGCTCAGGGAGAAGTTCTTCCCGACAGTCAGACAGTCCTGCTGCCCAAGAGGACCGAGAGGTCTGCTGGGTCTGGGTGGACAGATTGACATCTGTAGCCAGTTTTTTCGGATCTGCTGTGGGACGGACTGCTACAAGAGACCCTTCCTGCCCAAAGACATCAGCACCTAAAACAACTCTAATGAAACCAAGATGAGCTGCAACAACAATTCATTTCCCTTTGGGATTAATGAAGTATATCTGAATTAATCATGTGCGCCTTTTGTATTAATTCTTGTTGTGATTACTGACCTCAAACTGATTTTATGTGGTTATTGTGAATAAGTTGAATTAGGGGAGTGGTGGCGCAGAGGTTAGAGAAGGTGGGCCTGTGATTGGAAGATCGCCGGTTCAAGCCCCGGTACTGACAACATCAAAAATGTGGGTGGGGTAGGTGAAGCACTCACACCTGCCCCCACCCTCATTCGTCCAACTCTGGGCCCTTGAGCAAGGCCCTTAACCCTCACCATCTGCTCCTCCGGGTGTCCTAGATAGCAGCTCTCTGCTCCACACAGAGGGCTGTGGTAGCT